TTTCGACGGGCGAGTGTACACGCCTTGAGAAACGCTTCCTTCTGTTCCTGATGTTTGGCTATTTGTTGCATTAGAATGGGTTCCATGTCTTCTTTGGATGCAATTGGAGTCACATTAGAATTGTCTGCATTCAGATGGGAGGCGCCGCAGAAATCCTCATTCCTCTGGTATTCTCTCTGAAGGCTATCCAACACAGAGTAGACCTGATCTGCGGTTTTAAAGAAATTCAGTGAAGCCATCACTAGTTTGTGTCTGTCCTCCGCGTGACTCATCAGTTGTTGCCATCGATTGGACACCTCTGTAGCAACGCTTCTAACCATTTCTGGATTGAAGTGATTTCCCTGTATTAAGGATTCGGCCTTTTGTTGCAATTGAAGAGCACTTGAATGCGTTTTCTATTGCAATATAATTCATATTTAGTTAATTCTAAATACATTAACCATTTATAATATTTCACAATAATTTATATTATAGTCGTGTGAATGAAAGATATCTATGAAAATGGAAATTACATTAAAGGGAAGAATCTATAATTGAAGCCCAAAACCATTAAGTGATTGCATGTAAGGATAGAGCAGAATATTAGTTCATTTTATTTTATTATTTAAAGGTTTTAAATTTAAATAAATGATTTTAAAAATAGAGTTTAAAATGTGTTAATATTAGACTAACTTGAGTTAATACTTGACTTAAACATAAAAAGCATCCAGGAATGACTCACAATTTCGTTTAATTAAATAAAAACAATTCTTTAGAAGGTATACCGACTTAATTAAGCAAATATCATATTCTGTTAGCATATATTTGCTGATAATTATGCAAATTTACTGCACAATACTGTATGCACTATAATAATAATTGTAAATATAATTTGTCATTCATTCATAGCATGCTCAAGTTTATGGTTAATTAAAATCAAAATCATTGTTCAATTAATGGTAATGCTATTGAAATAGTTAAACAAATGGACAGAAATAGTAATGAGAATACAGTGTATGATTGTGAACAGACCTCAATGGCGAGTTGGAACTGTTCGTGTTGAACCTGGAGGTCCTCTGCCTGGGACAGGGTGTTGGGGATTTGAAAGGAGACCGAAAGCATGGACTCTCCGTTCCTCATCCACGCGAGCACTTGATTGGCATCGGTCTGGAAGTGACACAATTGGATCAGTTGCTCGAGTCGTGTGCGCCTCAGCTCCGACAGGTCCTCCAAATCCATTTCCCTTTCGTGTAGAAACTCCAGAATCATCTGAACCCTAGCAGTGGCCGTCTGCTCGGAATCAGCCATAAGTAATACACCACACGTTTCCAACAACTATCACAAACATTGCATAAGAATTTTATAACAAATATTTAACTCTCAACAGAATGTCATTGAAATTGGTTTTTGATATTCAATAATGAATAGAAGTATTCACTAATATTCATTATAATCGCTTACTTTTATCGCATATAAATCTGTATACAATACAGTATAAGGCTTCAGGATTAAATAAATTTTTATAAATTATAAGAAGTAATGGGTTTATAATATAATTTACTCATAGATAAATTTAACTTTTGTTTTAATTACTCTATTACTAAACCATAAAAATTTTCTTTTAATTCAATTGATTTCAGCAACTATTGCTAATTCTAGGTATAAATTACTAAATGAGTATTAATAAGATATAAATATGAATTGCAGTGAATCTACAATATTGTGATAGAGAAATGTGAACAAATCAAACATTAATGAACCAATACCTGAGACAACTCCTGTCCGGAGTGGAGGACTTGATATATCAATTGTTGCAATCGTTCAAGTTTTTCATTGTGTATTTGCAGCAACTTTTCCACAGCACTCACATCATTAACAGTCATCTGTTTTTGTTGCAATCGCTGTATTTCATCGGCGAATGTATCGGTTTGTGTGGAGACAGTGAGGGCTTCCCTCTCGAAAGCCCTTAACTTAAGACACAGATCGAGTCGGAACTGTCGACTCTTCCATAACTCTTCCAACTCAGGTATAATTGACTTAATCTTTTCAATTGACGCTTCAATGGCAGTGATGGATGCGTTTAAGGCATGATTGCAATCACAAGAATCGCTGTTTCGGTTAACGCTATCTGTTTTCAATTGTTCTAAAGCTGTCTGCCCTTCACTGATGGTAGTGTTGGCCGCCTCTACCATAGAGTCTCTTTGATGGATCAACTGATTTATAGCACTTTCAGTCAACTCATAAGACTCTGGAGCTTCTATTGTATCCGCTTTGAACTGTTGTCTCAATTCATTAAACCACGAAAAGAGCTCTTTTTCGTGAGTGAAGAACAAAACGCCAACATTTAGAAGACTGCGTCTGACCTCAACTCTGGCCGCGAAGTCCGATATATGGCTCTCGAGTTGTTGGGCGACTCCGCAGATCTCATGGGCGTTGCATTCGCCAGTGCGCGCCAACTCCTCGGCCGCCGCCAACAACTTCTCGGCGTTTGTGTACGTATTTTGTGCCACACTTTCGAAGTGATTGTGGCTTTTCTGCAAAGCCCTGGCTTTAGTCACATTACGTCCGACGCCCGGATTCTTCAAGAGAAAGCCCTCCCCGTGAGTGTCGATCCATTCGAGCACTTGTCGCACGTCGTCCTGAAACAGAGCCAAAGCGAGCCTCTGATGTAATTTGATTTTCTTGAGATTCCAAACCGACTCAATGGACCGGTGATGGGCTAGTATTTCATGAATCACTGCCACCACATGTTTGGCCCCCTCCTGGTAATCAGAGACAGGATCTGATCGACTCATAGCACTCATCGAAGACATTCCAGTTCTGTAGTGATCGGAATGGCTGGCGTCCGAGAGTTTGAAAGTGTGGCACATCTGAACCAAACGGTCCAATTGGTATAAAAGCTTTTTGCTGTTTGTGTGGCACTCGTTGTAGGCCTGACACACCTCATCATAGAGTGATTGGTGTGAGTGAACCAATGCCTCCAATTCGGTCACATCGTTGGGAATGACTGGAGCGCCGGCATCGCAGGCCTTCTTCCAAGTGGGCACCAGATTTAGGTAGTGTTGAGAGCACTGGTAAAAGTTGAACGAAAGGGTCAGCACTGCTGTCCTGTCGTCCAAATTGGAAGCAAACTCTTTCCATATTCGGTCCAATCGTCCGGCAATTTGCTGTATTTGTAGCGATGAGTAGTGTCCGGCCTCTACCATACGAGTGGCCACTTGTTGTAGTTTATTGATATTGACGTAAACATTCATCGAGGCCACACTAAACCGGTTGTGTTCGTCCTGTAATTGCTTGCATTCCTCACCATTCCTTCCGATCACTATTGCCGTCGACATAAACAGGTCTCTGTTGTTGCGGATCCACTCAAACATCTTTTGTGCGTCACTTTCATAAAGTCTTAACTGTAAGCACTGGTCGTATTTCACTCGTTTCAAGTGCCACAACTGCATCAACTGTTGTTTATTTATGTGAATCTCTTCTATAACTCTCATTATTTTAGGAACTGCTGTCTGGATGTCGGGGTTATTTTGTGTCGAATCACGGCTACAATACCCGGAGTCACCGCTCACTGAACCGCTCGGAGAGAAACTCAGTTTCCGTAACAACTGCTGTCCCTCTGCGTCCAACTCCTCAACCGGACTCTCATTTATGGTTTGCTTAGTGCTGTTGTGGTCATCAATCATCTTCTTGGCGGCGGTCGTGTCGGTCGCGAACTCCTGTTTCATGAGATCCACTTTGAGAGCGTTCATCACTTGTAGGGCATCCGTCGCTTTGTCCATAAATGACTCCAAACATAGTCTCAAATCAATCCATTGCTTGTGATCGTAAGGATATGTTCCGCACTCCATGTCATTCGTGAGTTGAGAGAAATCAACAAACTTTGAGATCGATTCCAATGATATCATTACAGTCTAAAAGATAAAATGAAATTATTTTAAGTAATTGTAATCACAAACCAGTGATCACTGCTGACCTCAAACTTGTATTTCGAGGACCCGATGCTTGTGCGCTGTTTCTGCCAAAAGTTGTCCGGTTTTATGATTAGTGTTGAATAGATTTTGGGACTGAAGTACTCGTCCAGTGCTTTGAGTATTGGTTTGATTGCATTCCATGTATTGCCTCTCATGTCGAGTATTACACAAAACTCTTTGCTTTTGGACTCATCGCTACATTTAGGACACATTTAGGACACATTTAGGACACATTTAGGACACATTTAGGACACATTCACGATTCAGTGAACATCACATGTCAACTCAAATCAATACAAACCTCGGAATACTCGCTAAATATGTGAGTAATGGTCGCAAGTCTTCGGCGCTCAGCTTCTCTGGACGTGTTTTCGATGGAAACAACAGTATTGGACCACCTCTTAGATCACGACCTCCTGAGTGACCAATCAATGAACCATTCATTACAATACTTTTCATATAGCATTTGAATCAATGGATCAATACCTGAGAGAACGGCTATTCGCTGCTCAAGGAGTGGAAGAATATCTTTGGCTTTTGGACCCATTCTTATCAATTCTAATGACAATTAAATCAAACAAATGATTGAAACAAATGAATGGATTGATTGACACAACAAAACAAATGAAAACCTCAATCAATATATGAATAAATTGCTGACATTTATAAACATAAAGACATAATAATAATGAAACCAAATATCAAACAAATGGTTAAATAAAAGACACAATCAATGAAATGATGTCCAATTGGATCAAATCAACACCTGGTCTACACTTAACCACATTGTGGTCACCAGTACTGTCACCACTGGAGTAATCGGTGGTCGACTCAGTTGTGCTCATAATTGTTGACAATTACATGGATTGACACGAAATGGAAATCCAGTGTAAATGAAGTGTAAATGAAGTGATAATACGTTAATCACATAATCAGTCAATTGCTGTGAATGTCATTCAAATGTGTTTACAATAAACACAAACAAAACATTTGTTTTCATAGAATTGAGTCAATCTTTGGGAGCAATAGTTGTTTGGTTTCTATGACAACAGCATTCACTCAATCGGTGACACAAACCACACAAACGTTGCGTTCATTTGTCTGGTAATCGCTAATCGTGCGGATCTGCTGTCGACAATGTCTGCCACCACTATCACCAACCCATCAACACTGCTCCCATTAGGTCTGTATGTCATGTCACTGTCACCGTCACCCTAACCACCGATGGTGTGTCTGTAGAGTTGGTCGACAAGTGCATCGGTTCTCGCATTCATATAATTATGCGAAACGATAAGGAAATCGTTGGCACTCTTCTGGGGTTCGACGACTTCGTCAGTAAGTATTGCAACCATTTGTTACGACAATTGTCTTATTGCCCACTCATTGCAATAGATATGGTCTTAGAAGATGTGACCGAATAGTAAGTGAATCATTGCTTTGTTTGTATTGAAACACCATTTGATTTAATTGGACAGCGAGAGTACACCCGAAGGACGTCGAGTCACCAAATTGGACCAAATCTTATTGAATGGAAACAACATAACTATGGTATGTATGGTATGGTGTGAACACTTGGTTCATATGATCTAATGATGCATTCATTGGTCAGATGGTTCCCGGAGGAGAGATGCCCGACAACTAACAACTCACTCATGCCTTCCATCATCACTACTATTATTCATGTTTTGCAGTAAATTTCAATTTAGTTAACAATCATTTCATTGATAACTATTTTTACAGATTATTTCAATATTAGTTATTTGAATAAACTATAAAATGTGATGAAATATAGTATTTGTTATAAATGCCATCAAATGTTATGTTATTGTTTGAGTTAAACACGAATCTCTAAGACATACAATTGATATAATGAACCATTAGTTATGTCTGACTGTAATGTGAGATGTGGTCATCGTTTAAGTCTTGAATATCCTTTACTTGCGGATCATTGCAAACATAACCGGTGGACAACTTTTGCCAATTAAATGCTCCAAAAGGATAATCCAATCCTAATCCTCTCTTCACTGTTTTATATCCCCCTATTTCCCGGTTTGTCAAAATATTGTTATTAATCAGAAATCTACCAAGGTTTAAGTTTGCAAAATAGATGTTTTTTGGAGTAATTCATTTTTGTCGCAAAAAAGTTGTTACCACCGGTTATATCGGTAATCAAATGTATGTCATAATACTATACTCGTTGCAGCATTTTAAGTCGAAATATGGTTAGATTACCATGGTCATGTTTATGTTCATAAAATCTAACTTCAGATTCTGTATACGATTCTGTCGTGAATGTGGATTTGACAATGTTCAGGTACAATTATTGTATGATTTGCATACGTATTGTATGGATACAGTAGTTGTCAAAACAATCTCAACATGAATTCACAGGTTTTGAAACCAAAACTTTTATTGAATGGGATTTTCGGGGTTTGGAAACACAGGGCAGACAGTGTTGAGGACTACAAGACATGGATCAGACTCACCCACTATCAGGGTATACATGAGATCTCATAAATAGCTCAATACATGACACCCACTGTTATACTGATAGAGAGCCGGTTGGACATGTCGTCGAAGCACTGGAACTCCCCGGCGGTCATTGTGGACATAACCCCCAGATATATGGAACCGTTCACTACTGGTGTCCTCTGTGTTGGTATCGGCTATTGGTCCACAAGACTCACAGCTCTGACCAAATTCTGGGAACACGTGAGTCACTCATTGGATCTAATCTTTGAGTTGATTTTTGAAGATTAGTTTCTGTTTGTGAAGGAATGGACAGCTTGTGTCCAATTGGGGGCACAGACATCACACTGGGGTCCAGACGCACACATTGTTCATGAAATGCCTTTCAGTGAGTATTCAGTTCTTCATATGAGATCAATTCATAAAAGACTTTAAAGTCGAGTAACATATCTGTTGGCAAACTTTGAGGTCATATCAGTGAAGAGCTATTGAAGCAAACGATCCAAGAATTCATTGGAGCGAAGGAACAGCTGAATCCTCCGCTCATATGTAAAGAACATCTTTTACTGCCAAAGGATGGCAAGAGAAGGACTCCTCCGACAGTCCAGAGTGAGCCGACACCTCGACTAAGAGAGTGTCACAGCATTGATATATTGAGTTGGAAACCACCGGAACTTACACTTCGTGTCATTACTGATGGATACTTCTCTGTCCGCACATTTGTTCACGACTTAGGTCTCAAACTCTCGAGTTGTGCCCATTTGACTGACTTATGTCTTAACAGAATGGGTGTTATTACCACTGATGTGTGTCTCAAGAAATATGAACTCCATTTGAAACAAATGTCTGAAGCTATTGACAAATATTCAAAGCTTTGCTCCAAAGATCTGAAGAGATTCTCGGATTTAAAACCAGATAACCGAAGAAGAATTTAAGATTCAAGTCTTTAATAGGATTTAAGAGTCAAATGTTTGCAAATGTTGTTAAATAATGGCATTTATTAAGTGCTAAATTTTATAATTATAAAATTAATCGCTGATATTATATTAAATACATTTAATTTACAAAAGAATTTAAAAATCTAAAAATAGTTAAACGAATGAGTTTTACACATAAAATAATTTATTTGATTTTAGTTGACTCCAAATCATTATATAAATTGAATATTCAATGCATTTATAATACGGTAGTTTGAAATATTTGACAACAAAAGCATTTAAGAAAAAGCTAAACATATTTATCAAAACCTAAAGCTGTGGTGAATATGTTTGGTTTGGATCTAATTGATAGCCAACAGATTGATTGGTAGGATTGTAGTGCTGTTGAGGAAAGGTGTTGGGGTTGGCGAACGGCACCGTAAACTTATCGGTGGGAAGGGTAGCACTGACTGTGAGCGGAGGCATTCCTGGCAATGAAATGGGTGTCGTAAAAGACTGACCGCCATATGAGGCCAATGGGTTCACATCAGTGTTGGTCGGCATCGTATAATTGGGTTGATTGTAGCCATACGACGGTATGTAAGGACTGGTACTTTGAGGGCCATATGCCTCAGTGGTGCCGATCTGAGTCACTGGTAGTGTAGCCGGCAATGGATAGGAGCCACTGGAAGTGGTGACCGTCGAAGTTGTCAGTTGATTGAAGTACTGGTCGCCTCCCTGTCCTAAACTAATGTTCGCTAAATTACTTGACAGCGAAGAGACCGACGGGGAGGTGGAGGGGACGGGTGCGGCCACTCCTATGTTGGCGTTAAACACTTCCTGTTGGTGTTTATGATCGTGAACCACAACTGGAGTGTTGGAAAGGGAAGCAGACGTATACTGTTGAGAGTGTAGTTGAGATGGCAGTGGGGGTGGGGGTTGGGGTTGCAGTTCGTATGATCTTTTCTCAAAATATTGCGATTGCGGTGTTGGAGACATCTCTGGCTTTTGTGCTACACTTCTAGGCTCTTGAGACTCAGATGTGGTTACCTTTGCTATCGGGTCTTCTCTATAAGGGATTCGATGTAAATATCCGTAACCAATACCACAACCAAGACTTCCCTCTCCGCCCCAATTGCTATACAAATATACAGATAGTCATCAATAAGTAAATGTCTGCCAATAAGACTGGAGGACATACCTGTTCGGGACTATCGTTACGTCACGACATGAATCTGAGGCTAAATTATAAACGAAGAGTTTAAGCGGTTTTCCCTCATGAGCTTCAATCAGATTAAAGAGATCTTCGCTCTGCAATCAAATCAAATAATATTAAAACCATTTCCTAAACAAATCACACGAAGGACTCACTTCTTGGAGGACCGAATCGGCGCCTATAATATAGTCGGTGTCTGACTTGAGTCCAGCGATGTGTGCGGGAGAGTTGGCCTCGACTTGGAGGACGTGCCAGACGTGTTCGTTGGCGCCTTCGAACGAACAGAATCTGATGGACACCCCCAACAACCCCTGTCCGCCCCATTTGGCACTCGGAGTCAACTCGACTTCCCTAACAGTTTGCGTTTTGCTGTTATACACCGTCATCTTCAGAGGTTTATCGATACTCGTCTTAAGGATCTCTTTGAGAGCGTCATTATCCTGATTCTGAACACCAATCAAACAGCAGTTGATTCGTTGTCACCATAACTAAGACCATAACTAACATACCAATCGTGTGTTTCCGATGGCTATAATGAAGTCGAAGTAGGCCTCCAGTCCCGCCTTATATCCGGGTGAGTGGTCCTGAACCTGACCACAGATAATCGGATAATCATTCACTTAGTCTCGTGTCAACGTGTCTACTGAATGGTAACTAACCCTCAAAACATGGTAGCCTTCAGTGCCACCACCGGGCACTTCAATGCTCTGACTGCCACCCATTTATACCAATTGTCGGCTAATTATTTCTTGGGATCAATTCAATCAACAAAATGTGTTCACATTTGCCTTTCGTTGTGTGAGTGATGGCATCATATGAAAGGGAAACACATGAATAGAGTGCAGAAGTGGAGGAATGAGTGTTGACTTACATATGAGTGACGGATGGTTGGATCAAATGATGACAATCGCAGTCACTGTCAACGCAATCAATGGGCAGTCAGTGATAACGTGGCACTAATGCACTCACTATTCACTTGACTGGAGGCACACTTCACTACAACATTGTATGAAGTGTTATGCAGTGAACACCTATTCTCTCCACATCTACACTATTGCCCATCTATTGAATGTATTTGACTTCAATTATTGTGCATTATTCTATACTTTGAAACTCCCTTTATGTTATCATTTAATAACTAATTATTTATCATATTAAACTGTTAAATAAGTTTATTTTGAGTAAATTATATATACAATTTTAAAGGATAGAAAGCTATTTAATACAAATTATGTAATAAAACAAGAATATTCTGTATATAAACAAGAGTTAGAATATTGATCATAAATTAAGTCCATACATTTTTCTCATACTTTAATTTTTCCAGAAGTTTAAAATAAAACAATAAAATTATGTTGTTTTGCGATTTGGTTCAAATTACTCAATAGATGAGTTAGTTTACTTAAATTCATGTCTATTATCATAATACAGATGCCTTTGCTATTTGAATGTGATAATTAATGTAAACATTTAAAGCAAACATTAAATAGTTAATTTTATATAATATTATAAATTTTTAGACATTAAATTTTAATTTTTATATTAATTATTAAATTGTTTATACTTTATTAGACAATAATCTGTCTATTATTCATTAATATGGTAAAGTTATGTAATATACTAATTATGTACTGTATTCTATACAATGTATTTTTAATTTAAAATTAATTAACTTTCTTTAATTCTAATAATATTTTAATCTTATATCTTATAATTTAAGATTTTTATATCGTATTATAAATTAAAATATTTTATTATAACAATTATCTATTGTTTTTTAAAATAAACTCATAAATCCGTTTAAGTTGTTTAACCAATATACTTATGTTATAATAATGTTAAAATAGATATTCAAATCGTAAACTAACCTAAAAGAATATCCTACTGGGTTGCCAACATTACGTGTGAAGTTTGTTTGAAAATTGGTGAGTAAATCAAAACGAACAATTAAATTTCATAATAAAAGGAAAATCATATAATTAAAAATATTGCAAATGTATGAAAAATTACTGTGAAAGATATTGAATTAAAATATATTTTTAAAATAAAATCATGCTTAAACAAATTGTTTTGTTTTTGTTAGTATTATTTATTAATGAATCGACTTGTGATTTATTGGGGAATGTCTTAGATTTAAGTGAACCATTGTTCAAAACTATTGGTTTAAGGAAAGGCTCCAAACTTTCATTGGTAATTATTTTGGTTAAAATTACATTTTTAGAAACAATCATATACTTTGCTACTATTAATTAAAATTCTAACTGATAATTATTTATATCGATTGTAAACTAATTAAATTACTAGCTTGGTATGTTATCGAACACTATTTCGAAAACACCTGATGGTAAGCATTGAATTAAATTTTATTAGCAATCTATTATTGTATTTATTACAAAAACATTAAAATGTGTGAATTTAGGGGGTGTTATAAGTGATGGCGATATAGTGGTCCACACGGACCGCAACAAAGGGGTCAAAGAAGACGGCGATTTATGGCCCAATGGTCTCATACCATATATGTTTCACAATTGTTTGTAACCATTATTTTTGTCTATTTTAAAGGTGAAACAATTGTAATATAGTTTGATTAGAGTTTCGGTAACTATTCCTGATGTTTGTCAACCATTAACTTCGCTACTTTGTGACCCTCCTTTTATGAACGTAAGCAAAAGCTGCGTTAAATTTAAATGATAAACATTTCATTCGCTTCAGAGCCGACACTTCCGGGTATTCTTATGGCAAATGATTGAGACTTAAAATATTTTGAAATTAATATTAATTGAATAATAGGTTGTAATTAATTCTATGCAACAGTTGCTGGTCTTCTGTTGGACGACAGTATGACAGGAATGGTCCCCAAGATATAAGTCTGGGTTCCGGGTGTTTCAAAGTATACTAATAATCATTTTATAAAGTATATTAGTATTTTAATATTTATTTTACTTTTAGTTTTTTACGGGTATTTATAAGTTAATCTGGTATAATGTACAAATATTGAATTTTACATCGCTTTTTCAAATAAGCTGTTCATGAAATTGGACATTCAATTGGATATTATCACGAACACGCCCGTAGAGATCGGGATCAGTTTATTGAAATACTTTGGGATAATGTGAGACCAGGGACGGATGTCCAGTTTGAGATTAAGGTTGTGTACCACAGGTTATATCAATTGGAAACACTGCAAAGCTTTTAACTCATTTCAAACTGTACAAAGTATAAATTGTACTGTATTCTTTAATAATATTATAACAGTGAACAGAGTTTCCAAAGATCTGGATCAGTTACTAATTTAAATGAATAATTATCAAAAGTAAATATTATTATAGGATACTAGAAATGAAGGTGACCGATACGACCTACGATCAATAATGCATTACCCCGCATGGGTATTTGATTATAATTTATTATAATTTATTGTATTGTTTAATTTTATAAAATTTCTTAAAGGCTTTCAGTAAAAGTCCACTCAATAAGAGTGTAATCGTAGCCAAGAATCCGTTCGTTCAATATCTGATTGATGAGGAAAAGGAGTCACTCAGCTTTCGAGGTTTATATACAGGTTAATCCATTTGACACATATTTGCTTCAAATTATTTTATATTTTAGACATCAAACTTACCAATAAATTATATAAGTGCAATAGTAAGTTTAATCCCAATGGTTTTTATGTATTCCTTTATAATAATTCATACTTTTTATCTACAGGAAAATGTAGAAGTGATGGAAATTTTGAATGCAAAAATAATGGATATCTGATGTATAATAGAAATGACAAAATATGCAGTTGTATTTGTCCGCCCGGTATTACATCAATCAGAGTGCTCGCTAACTGATGTGTTTCTAGGATTGCTATTTAATCCAGGAATTTACACGGAATAATCAAATTATTTATTAGGAAACTCAAAAATATATTCATTGAGCAGATAACACTTTATAAGTCACTTGCATTAATTAATAGATTTAATTAAATTTGATTGTAATCAGGTGTTGCTAACTGTATTGTAAAATTAAAATATTCTGGGAAAATTTAAAATATCTGGCAATCTTATTAACGCGGTCAGTTAGCAAACACTGGCATAAATTAATCTTATTTTATTTATCTGATTACAATTCTTATAATTTATATTTTCTATTACTAATTGGTTTGATTTATATTTCGTTGAAATAATTAGTGTATAATGTAATTTGCCTAGGTTATAGTGGCATTTTATGTGAAGATGAAGACACAACCAAAACATTAGATTATTTAAGGCCTAAATGTGGAGGAAATATAACAAAAGAAGGTATACCCAAACTACTCTAATTTATGTACACATTTTATATAATAACCAAAATTGTGATTATAATTAATTTTATATTATAAAAGTTAGTTGAATATATTATAATAATTAACTTCCTATTTGAGGCACATTTTCAACGCCTAATTACCCCCTAAGAAAGCAACCGTTTGAAAGTTGCAGTTATTGGATACGAGCGCCTGTCGACCATAGGGTTGAAGTGACTTTTGAAGACTTTAGTTTCGGTGATCCATATTCTGTTGATGACAAGCATGCGATCCAAGGCTTGTGTTTGGATGAAAGCGTCGAAATGAGAAACTTTGACGATATTTATAATGGAAACATGTATACAAACACCTCATTATAATTAAATCACCTTTTACATGATTCATTATATAATTTTAAAACTATAGATACTGTGGACAACAAATCAAACCAGAATCTGTTATGCAATCGACTCAAAGAAATTTTATAATAATCATTATAGCAGACGACCAAATGAGGGGAAGAGGTCTTAAGGCAAGCGTCAGATTCATTGAAAACGAAGACAAGACACCTAAACCTCAAAACACAAAGAAACCAAAGAATAGATTACTATCTAAAAGTAATTCTGTAGTTCAGTCACAAGTTTTTAAGTTACTTCAAGGACTCAGTTTGAAATAAGTTTAAAGTGTAAATCATGACAGATAAATTTTAGAAACATCATATAGTATAGTCAACACAGTTTCTAATTGTTATAATTATTATGGATTATAACTTATAAAACTTACAATTTCATAAATATTCTTAATTAAATATTTTCCATTGATTTAGTAATTAAGAAATAGATTCATTTTATGCTTTTAAATATAATAAAATTCTAAATCATTATTTTTAATTTATAAGTTAATTTTTATTTTACTAATTGTAAGTATACTACAGTAGTATAATCCAGATTCCAGTCTAAGGGTATTGGCATTATAATCAATTTTCATATTCTCTGAAATAAAAATATTGAACATGTTTTTTCATACTATCGTTTACTAATACTTGACTATAAATTATAAATAATTTATTAATCATTGTTAGTATGCTATACATTTACATTAATATTTTAAGAAAAATGGTATGCCAACACAATATACATGTGTGCAAGGTGTTTAAATGAATACTGTACTAAGAAATGAATGTGTTCAGTTATAACTTTTTATTCAAATTCTTATTTCTACTAGTTTTCTACACTTAAACATTTATTTGATGAATATTTTGTGCTAATATAACACTTTTATGTATTCGCAATTGATATTAGTATTTTATTAATTTTATTTTACTCATAATATTGCACATTAAATGCTACTATTTTAATGAATATAATCTTTATTATTATTTCTTAATTACATTATTTTTACTTAATTAACATTTTGGCTATAAATTAGAAAACTATTATTATCTACAGATTTGTTTGTTTGTTTGCATCATTACCTCTTTACTCATATTAGTTATAATACATTCAAATACTTATTCGTTTCGTCGAAAAGTTTCTTAAAAGGATCGATCATATCATAAGTGATTTGTTATAAATGACTTCAATTACACCTTTAATGTAATTAATTCATATCGTATGTGACAAACATTGCAACAATTAATGTAAATTAGAAATGCTTTGAATAATAGATACAATGTTAAATTATGTTCAATTATGTCTATTATTGTTTCCGTCATTCCTATGAGTGCTCTTTAAAAGAATTTTACATTTTAAACAAATTATTGTAAATATAATAATAATTACATTCCGTTATTGAAATATAAAATATTATTTCGGGTTTCAATTAATCTGATATATTTTTATATAACAGTCGCCCAATTGGCACATATTTATATAAGTTATAAACATTTGGTTTATATACACTTTGGTTTCACTTGACGCGTGTTTACAATTAAATCAAATCAACACATTCTTATCATTAGACCTAGGTGAGGTTAGGTGAGTTTGTTCAGGCTAAAACATCAAATAAATGGACAAAAACAATGATCACTAATGTGATAGGAATTTGAAAACTTTTGTTAATTTTGAAAACAATGGATATTTGAACTATTATACAATATACAAATATATTATAATACTTAAATATACATACAATACCATTTAATAACTCATATCAACACATGTTTACATCAATCAGTGCTTAAAATGAGTTGTGATTTAATAAACTATTTGTTTACTAAAAATTGCAATTATAATCAAGAATTGTAGAATGAGTGCCAAAACTAATGTCCCTATTTTGTATTAATAGTACCAATTTGTATGTTAGCACTAAATATGCAATAGTTATAGCCTTCAAAACATTGTGTGAATGGCTTTAAGGTACCAAAGGTTTAGCCGCAACACTAGATCTCTATGTCTATCCATCACTAGACCTATCAAACCATGTATTTAAGGCCGGGTTTAGCTCTTAACCATTCATACAATCACTTCGAAGACTACTCTATTGATAAAAACAATTGTTTTTTATTACAATAAAAATCAAATCTTTGGCAATGACTTAATAACAATATATTAAGCTTAAAGGCAATCAAATTTTCTTTGATAACACAACCAAAAGTTTTTTGGATAGAAATACAATTACATATAAGATCGAGATTACGATTGTCGACACCTTATAACTGAACATTCAGTTACTATACATTGTATTTGCTTTCAAGTGCTTACAGTTTGTCTTTCAAATGGATTTACAATACTTTTTATTATGACAATCATAACAAAACCATATTATCGGTGAACTTCAATACAGTATTTGAAAAGTCAATGGATTTCACTTTTTTCTCAATATTTGATAATTTGATAACAAAAACAATTATAGTTTGTTAACATTTACATACATTCGTGTCTTTTCATTAGGCATAACAATAACTTTTTGTATTTTATGAACGTTTTTGTTTCTTCAATAGCTTTTCACTTTGAAATCAAATGAAATTATATTTAATTTCTAAACGAAAGTAAATTATACTATAAATAAGTGTTTATATAAAAATATCTTATAATGTAAAACGGCTAATTTTTAGATTTAAATATTATTTGGATTTTATTTATATTTTTGATGTTAAATATGATTTGGTTTAGAAGAACAACAGTTTTGTCTCTATTTTCTTGAATACAGTATTTGAATATCATATATGATTTAAGTTGTGATAAAATACAAATTTTAATCATCGCTCATATTTCTCTTAAGTGGTTATTCTCTCAACAAAATTGTATCAAAATTTCTCAAAAATTAAGATTACTTTCATTTACATAACCGGCTAAATGTTTTTAACCAATCATTGTCTTATGGAAACGATTTGGGGACTATTTTCATACAATATATTTGTATGAATACATCAAATGGATCTTTTCTTATGTTTTCATGAGTTAATGGGTGTAACAGTCATACCATTACATAACTAGTCACAAGTTTATAACAAATTCCCATTAATTTGAAAACTTTAAAAATCAAAATATTAGATCTTTAACGACAAATAAATTTGCATCAATTTGTATTGTTTTTATAAATACAACATTTAATTATGAAATCCAATGTTTTGAAGAAATTGCTATAAAAGTAAAGATGAAATCAAATTAAATATGAGATTAATATTAAGATCTATAATATTAAGATTGCTATAAATACCTGATAATCATTTGATAGTAAAATCCTTTTAATATAAATCTTCAATTCATAATGAAAATGAAGTAAAAATATAGTCATTTATATTATAAATTTGTGTTTGTTTTGATGATTGAGATGACCGTCGATTGACAATCAAATGAATGTTAAAATTCGGAATTCTTTGAAACAAGTCATTCATATTTGCGACCATTTGTTGGAATATATAATTAATACTGAGTTTTGTAATATCGTTTATAACCTTATAGTTAGTCAGAAATGCCTTTTATCGGAGTTCACTACAGAAGAGGCACTAATTATTTCAAATGAATGACAATTCTCTTCCGATCAGATCAGTTGAACCAAACCCATGACCACAATATTCGTTGCAATCAGTATTTGAAGGCTATTTGACAATCTATTTGAGAGCACATTATTTGTACAGATCTCGTATGGAGGCGGCGGTGATTGTGCTGTAAAATAAAAATCTACTTTATATTACATTTCATATTACCAATACAATCGCACCCCAACAGACAATTTATAACCTATCAGTAAACTTGAGATACAATTTATAGGTTCAATATTTTGCAAATTAAAAACATCTCAAAAGAATGCTTTTTTGGGAATATTTAGAAATAAAACTTTATAAACTAAAATACGGTAAATCTCTTAATAACCATATTGTTAATTACCAAGGCAGAGTACTACAGTATATGATTTGATAATTGCAAATATATGCCACTAGTTTGCAAAAATAAATGATTCTGTATTTATGGTTGATTTTGAATAAAACAAACATGAAGTGTATGAATGGCAATGTTGTTGGGGTAGTGAATGCATTAGGAATAAGACAATTGAGTGGATAATTACTATCTTTGATGAGTTGAGGCAAGTATTTCTGCCAGAAGGCACACTGCTTTGTTCGCGGGCCCCGACCTATCTCTGTGCTGTTCACCGCTAGAGTCAAGTACTCCTTCCCATGGGGCGTATGGAGGGGCCAATATGTATGAGACCACTGGCCATTGATTGTCGTACTGGGGTTGCTATTGACATGAATTGAAAATAGTATGATTACAAATAGAAATTAGGCAATTATGAAAAGATGATCAGGAACAACTGTATGAATAGTTACCCGGTTTTAGCAAAGTTGGCCCAATAGGACATTATTCGTTCACTGAGTCTCCTTTCTTCCGGAGTAAACTGGAGGCGAGGGTTAAGCGGTTCCCCGAAAACATAACTGATTTCGTCGCCATGTATTGTGCCCATCCATTTAGGCCACGGACTATGGGTTGTGCGATGAGTGAAGTAATACATATAGACATCATTGCCGGCAGCGGAGTAACGAGAAGCCAATTCATTGACATGACATGTGAAGTGATAGTCGCCCACCATTTTGTCGACTGCATCCCTGTTCTTGATGGGATCTTCTGGGTTAAGCCAATCGGTGTATTCAAAGATGATAGCCTCCTGTCCCACTTTATTCACATATGGGTTTAACTCCTTTACAGATTTGATAAAGTCTTCACGTGTCAGATATATCTCCTCTACCTTCTTGAACAGATCAGTCAAGTAGTAGATAATAAAGTAAGTGCCCTCTTCTGTGTTGCTGCCCAATAGAAGTCTAGTTTTCTTGAAGTCTTTGTTAGCCAGAGATACTTCGGGCAACTCATCCAGAAATGTGCCGTCAATTATAGGCACAAAAGGGAACTCAACGACACCGAAGTTTCCCGACTCGTTGCTCACCAGTTCCCAGGGATCAGTCCCTCTCAAGCACTCAATTACGGCATCAATATTCTTGGGGTCGTGCGGACAACCGACAGCTTCTGCGAGTCTGAGTCCCCTTAAAGTCAACTCTTTATGGCTGACGAGACCCCAGGGGACAGTTGGGGCACCGCTTTGTAAGATAGCCTGACTGAACAGATGTCGACTCAACGGTGATATCAAGTGGAAGCTAATACTGGTGGCGCCCGCGCTCTCACCAAATAGAGTGATATTATCGGGATTTCCTCCAAAGTGATGGATATTATCTTTAATCCACTGAAGAGCCATAATCTGGTCAAATATGCCGGCATTTCCGGGCGCTTCTGTACGCGAGTTCTCAAAGAACAGAAACCCGAGGTTTGCGAGTCTGTAGTTGATTGAGGCGACGATTATCTGCTGTTCCGCAGCCAATATTCTTCCGTCATAGATGTCCAGAGAGACGGAACCGCTGTAGAAACAGCCGCCATATATCCACACCATTACGGCAGCATTTTTAGGTCGGGGTCGTGGCGTCCAAATCGATAGATACAGACAGTCTTCACTAAGTTTGGTGTTGGCGTTCCATATGGTAGAGCCGGCAAAGTCTTCACCAAAAGTGGTGTCATTGAGTTGATAGCATGAATTTGGTCTCGAGGTCACATTCAGAATGTCAGTCCAGGGGTCGATAGGCTTCGGGTGCTTAAACCGATTCCTTCCAACCGGAGGCTTCGCATAAGGTATGCCTAGAAAGGCGTCCACTTTCTTACCAGTACTGGTATCAAGTGTTGTTCCCCTTACATAACCCTTATTAGTCTTCACTAACAGCTTATCTTCGTCTCCATTTGGCAAATAACCAGTACTTGTCTTATAGCCAACACTTCTAGATTGGCTCAACTCTACGGACATAACCAGTAATATTATAAATGTCTTAAACAATACCATTATTGGCACACATGAAAACCTCCATCGTATCAAATGACATGAATTTCTATGAGTTTCACATAAATTATTCAATTGTGATATCATTTCCTGAATGTGTTTCAATTGAAATATAAATTCAACAAAATTTTATGTATTCATAAATTGGTTGTAATTTCCATAAAACTTTCAATAATTCTTGACTCCACTGATGATTAAATTCTGTAAATTAAATGATAAACAAATATTAATAAAATTATAGTACTAATAACTTTCAATTAATACTTCATGAAATGATTGTTATTTATATTTAAAGGATTTCTTTTATTCAAGTAATATTCACATTTCAATTATTTAAATAAAATTTTTTGTTGGAAACTATTTAATGGATATAAAACCTTAATTACATGAGAAATAGCAGATGCAATGCTTGTTTAATAACATCAATATTCATATACTTCACCACAGAATTACTATATGTGTAGTACCAAAGCACCAATAAGCTATATTTTTAATAAATATAATAACTAGACTTCAATAAATTTAATATAGAGCTTCTACTCGACTATATCATATTATTTATATAATAGCATTGGATGTGACATATATTTATTGATCTTAAATATTTTGCACATAATTTTGAATATTATGTTAATTTTATCATAAAAAGTAACATTCATTCATGAGATAAAAATTTCATGTTCTAAATTCTCGGTATAATACAAATCTGATTAAAACCCAAAGCTATAGTGAATTAAATTTAGAAATTCTTTTGAAAACAAATTAGTTTCACACGAATACTCAAATTCCGCTCAAATTCATATACATTTATATTTTACATAATTTTCTATTTTTAAATATATAAAGAATTTCAATCTTTACAAGCTGTTTTGTACTTAAATAGTACTTAAAATTAGCATTAATTATCAAATAAAAGTATAGCTTTCATAAAAAATAATTTTTTATGTAAAAATTTCTTACTAAAAATATAATAATTTATTACCAAGTAAAAGTATATGATATTCTTACGGTATATATAGAGTATTTATTTCATGATTGCAATTAAGAACAGAATTATGTAATAAAACCACAAACTATTTCAAATAGAAGATAAATTTCCTGTAAATCAATTGAAGGCAATTGAATAAAAACTAAATCACACAATAGTTTTATTTTTTTGTGCTTCACTCACACTAAGCATAGAGAGTGCATAATAAATAGAAATAAAATATTTGAGTGAGTGAGTGAGTGAGTGAGTGAGTAAGTGAGGGAGAGAGAGAGAGAGAGAGAGAGAGCAAATAAGCTGCAATTATAAAATTGCTTTATTGAATCGTTTATTTAGAAACATAATTGAATGCCAAAACAGATGCTATAAAAGTTAATATCATATGATAAAACTCGTGGGTGTTGACAGTGATTTACCATTAAAATTGAGATTATGTCGACAATTCAAGTATCCTCAAATCAGAAGCCTTAATATTACGATATTCAAATATCAATGTATTAAACATATAACTCACATAATACATTGTACATTAAAGTTATAAGACTTATAAATGATAAGTGAATTAATCTAAACAAATTAATAATTACAACGAGAATAAATATACTGAGGAACCAAAATGTACTGCATTTACTTTTTACTGTAATACTATATTAGCTACAAAGTATAAAGTGGAAAACACAATACAAAATTTGATGATTACATTTAATGTCTTATTTTATGTACAAATTGAATACAATACTTGTGATGACACCAATTGTATTAAACGTTCTCTTAATGCAAAGAATTTGGCTTTAAATGAATGCAAGCCATGAATTGTTTTATATTCACCACAAAAGACATTTCAACACTCATTTTTTACATAAAAAGAGCGGAGATATACTGTAATTATCACTTTATACCATAAATTTAGAAGCAGCAGACAAATAGATTTCATTCTGTGTGTGTGTGTGTGTGTGTGTGTGTGTGTGTGTGTGTG